TACTCCTTGCCGATTGTCTCACAGTGGTTGTCTCTCTTACCCTTGGCGTAGCTTCTCCAGGTTCCCCTTCTGAGCTGGAACTCTCTCGTGGAGATGGACCTGCCTGTTCACAGGTGGTCTGCGCAGATTGCCAAGCGAACACGTCGAAGAAGGAGACATCTGTAGGATCCTGTGTAGTGGGTTGCACTGTGGACTCAGCCAGGTTAGGAGTTAGTAAAACATTGCTTTCATCTACACGTACCACGTTGCACACTTTAACATATCCAGTTTCAGGGTTTAGGATTCTGTACCCTTTTCCCCCAGAGGCATATCCGACTAGGATACCAGTCTCTGCTCTTGGATCAAGCTTGCCCCTTTTCTCCTTTGGTATATGCGCATAGGCTTTAGATCCAAAGGCTCTTATATGTTTAAGTCCAGGCATTCTGTTATGCCATAATTCAAAAGGGCTTTTATTGGTAGCTTTAGATGGAACTCGGTTATGCAGATAAACGGCAGTGTGGACTGCTTCTGCCCAGTAAGACTCTGAAAGTCCAGATTGCATTAGCATAGAACGCGCCATTTCTTGTATGGTGCGGTTTAAGCGTTCCACTGTTCCATTTTGTTGGGGCGAATAAGGAACTGTTGTCTTATGTTCAATTCCTTCTTGTTCCATGAATCTTTGACACTCACTGCTGCAGTACTCTGTACCATTATCAGTGAACAACACTTCTGGTGCCTTGCCAAATTTGTTTTTAACAACAGATACATAGTATTTAAACTTGTCAAGCACCTCATCTTTGCTTCTAAGCAGGTAGGTATAAACATATCTGGTTTTTGCTTCCAGAAAACTGACAAAGTATCGGTTTCCACCAGCAGATTTACGTATAGGACCAACTAAATCAGAGTAGACACACTCTAGAAGCTTAGTGTTGGAGTCATGAGGTCTAGTTTTGTAAGAGGGAGCTGTGCCTTTAGATTTCAGACAAACATCATAGCCATTTCTCATGAGCTCACATTCTGCTGCTTCAATATTGCATTCCTTCAATAACTGTTGAACACTCTTAAATTTCTATGAGCGAACTTTACATGCCAGGCAAACAAACAGTCTTTATGATTGCAGTCAGCTGACCTGGTTTGGCATACCATTCCTTCAGCTTCATTGTCATCATCATTAAAATTAGCATCAGCAATATGTCTCAGGTAATGAAAACCATTGTCTGCTTCCAGCATCACATTAAATCCATTTTCGCCCCATATCTTTCCATAGCTTGGTCTAAGATCAACATAACTACCATTTTGCATTATTCTCCTTGTGGATATCAAATTATTTATTGCGTTTGGGATTAACACACAGTCCTTGAGTGTAATTTCAACAATTTTGTCATCAGAGTTCAAACCAAACAGAATGGTTTGACCCTGTGACTGAAAGGGTTTCGCCTTCAGCTCCTTGAAGAGCAGGCTTGCAATTTCTATCCAAGTCAGTAAACCACTTTTCACAATTAAAAACATGATAAACGCTTCCACTATCAACCAGGATTAGATTGTCATCCCTATCACACTTTCCAGTGACAGTCAACGCATGCATATTGCTTCCTCGCTTCACAACATCTGATTTCTGGGGCTGCCTCTCTGTTACAGCAAACACATTCCGTCTTTCAGCCTGAACATTTGGGTTTCCTTGGCCACGCCCCTTTGGGGTTCCTGTTTCAGAGTGGTTAGCCTCAGCGCGGTTACTTTTGGTGGGACGCGTCTGATCTCTTTGTCTCTGCAAACCCTTTGATTTAGGCAAACTCTCTGACCAGCAATGGCGGGCGAAGTGCCCCAATTTCCCACATTTGTGGCACCTAAACTCTCTCTTGCTATTCTTGCTCTCACAATTAGAGCTAACACTTAACACAGACAAGTCATCTGCAGCTTGGGACATCTCCCGTCTATCATGCATTTTGTATCTTTCAAGAGCGTTCCCTGATAATGATTTTTCCTCTTATACGTTAACAAAGACTTGAGAGCGCTGAGGGGAACAGGCAATCCTTTTGTTATGTGCGGGACTCCAAGCCTTTTCAGCTGCTCCGGGCAGGATCGGTCTCACCCCCTTTTTCTTTCGTTCGACTCTCGAGCACGGCTTGTTGAGCTTGCTTCAGTTCGCGGGAAAAAGATGATCCAAGTCAAAACGCCACAGGAATTCTCTCCGGCTTGAAAACACAGCCCTTCAGACTGGTTCCACAGGCTCTTGAAGAAAAACTCAGGAGCGTTGCTTGAACACCATTAATCCAATTGCGATTTTTAAAAGTAAAATTTTTCTACCTTAGAAAAAATCCTAACACACATGAGTTGCTTTTCTCTGGTCTATTTCTAGCAGCACTCTGCATTCGCACAGCAAGAAGCTTCACTGGGCCCATAACCAATCTGTTGGAGTTTCTTTATGAAAATTGTGATTCAGCAGAGAAAAGAACAGCTTAGCAATGCCAGAGTGCAATAATCAGACTCAGAGTCCATGTGTGTTTTAAAATATAAAAGTTTTTACTACATTCTAGCACAGGGAAAGGTAACTGGGAGGAAAATAACAACAGAGCTAATCCCTACATCTTCACTCTACAAAGGACGAGACTAGAAGAGCTGCAATGGCTTCTCTTACACGCTTCTTCAGAACAGCAAACAAAGAGAGGAAGAGGAGCCATAAAATGCAAAGACACTTTGACACTTTGCTTCCAATCAAAATCCTGGAACAGGAAGAATTTTCCCGGGCTGGGGGGCCTAAACTAACATTGGCTTACACAAAAGCATGTGATTTCCTGTAACAACAAAACAGACATTTAACCCAATATATACTGAGTGTTTTTATCTTGTAGTACCCAACATATAGTGCTGCTGTTATAGTTCTCCTTTGGTTGTTTGTGACTGAAACACTCAATAAAATTCACTTTGTATCCCTGCCTCACTTTCCTCCTCACTATATTTGATGGCAAAGAAGTACATGTATAGAATTAAGACAGAAGATTTGGGCAATTTAACTGGTTAAAAACCAAGGAAATGCAAAGCTGTGCAATTTATACCCCCCTGGTGCATAGCAGCAGTCAAGATATTCATCTGTATTCACTGTTCCTGACTCCTTCTCCAGTGTTTTCCCCCCGTGAAGCAAACATTTCCAGTGGCAGATGCTCTGGGAGCGGTGTGTGTGTGTGTAATCAATAGGATTTCCAATTGCCTGAAGAAAAAATGTCCCTTTAATGTGATGTTATTTGCCTCCATGGCATGAAAAGCTTTAGCTGTTCATTTCCACACATTAAGCCTCTGTTAAAAGGGACAGGCCTGTACACATGCCTCCATGTGGTCAAGAACACATAGAACACATGGCAGATCTAGATAGCAATTTTTCAAAAGTTCACACAGAAATTATAGTCCAATCGCAGTATGTACATTACTATCCTTGCACAGTAAAGATTAATATAAACACATCAGACTTTGTGTGTCCTCCACTTTGTGTGTCCTCCACAATTAAGAAAACAGCAGTGACCCATCCAAGTTTTCCAAATGTGCGCATACAAATAGGAAACCTCCTGTTTTTGGATGTCTGTTTCATTTTGCTACAAAAGATTAACATGGCTACCCCTCAGGAAAGGCCAGCAAAGATCTAGGAAATACTTACTGGAATATTTCTAACTGGGCCCTGTGTCTCACACACACTGTGGTTTCCATTTGTAATATCACAAATGCAATAGTCACTGACAGAGGGAGGCCTGAAGGTGTGACCACCATCACAATGAATCTCTGGGTTGATTCCACAGCCAAATGTGAAGGAGGCAAGTGAATGGTAGTGTGTAAGTAGAACTACAGCATGGATCAGTTCTGCGAGTGACCAGCTATGTTCTTCAGTCTTCAACAGTTGCTTTGGAAAGAGAAAGAGGGTAAAATAACTGTTAGTCTCAGAAACTCCATTTTGCTTAAGTTACTTCATGCATTTAATTGCAAAACAACCGTCAGATTTTTCCAGCAATAAATTACCCTTGTAAAAGATACCAGTTTGTTACTATTATTTCTAGTAAGACTCTCAGAAAGCAGGAAGCTTCCAAGGGTTGCCATCAGGCCTGGAGAAAAATGCCCTGTCATTTTAATAGTGGCTTAATATTTGGAAATGGGCAGCTGAAACTTTTCATGGCATGGAGGTAAATAATATCCCATTAAGCAGCTATTAAAAGGACAGGCCATTATCCCTCTGGGATGTTGGCAACCCTTGCTGAAGGCGGCTACTGGAGACATGATGGTGATCTGCAAGCCACCTTAGGGCTTGCTCTTCAGTGTACTTAGGGGGAGAACCTGTTAGTTATCTTCACTCTAAATCCATGTTATACAATTGGGTCTTCCTGCAGAGATATGAGCAGTTCCCCAATTCCTCTCCAGTCACAGCCTGTATGTATACTGGGTGGACTTGCAGACAAAGCTTCAAAGTAATGCATTAATTCATTGGGGTGCAGAAGATACATACAGCTGCTTACATGCAGAGTGCTGCAGACCAATAACATAATATTCAATTTTGCACAGCTTTGTGTTTCTGTACCTTCAGAGCATTTCCATCTGCTTATGTTCTGACTCAGGAAGGCAGTTCAAACCATGAAAGTTTTCTTGGTTTGGCCTAAAATTAAAAGCAGATTAGGTAAAGGTAAAGGTTCCCTTGCTCGAAAGCCAGTCGAATCCGACTCTAGGGTTGCGGTGCTCATCTCCGTTTCAAAGCCGAAGAGGCAGCGCTGTCCGAAGACATTTCCGTGGTCATGTGGCTGGCATGACTAAACACCAAGGCGCACGGAACACTGTTACCTTCCCACTGAAGTGGTACCTATTTATCTACTTGCAATTTCTTGCTTTCGAACTGCTAGGTTGGCAGGAGCTGGGGCCAGAGACGGGAGCTCACTCCGTCATGCGGTAACTCAGGTCTCGAACTGCTGAACTACCGACCTTCTTCCACAGCCTGCAGTTCAGCGTCTCAACCACTTGAGCCACCGCAGCTCCTAAAAGCAGATTAACAACCCTTAAAATGGCTCACTGCACCATATTGGAAAGCCATGATTGAGAGGGACTGAATACTCTGCCCTAAAACTGTAGCTATTCTGCATCCTGCTTAATCTTTGCACATTTGCTGAATTTTCATAGCTGTTCTGAAACCCATGGCAAGAATCTGCAAGAGGCACCAAAGCTTCACGGTCTGAAGGGTCAGTCCCACACCTCTCACACCCTTTGGCTTCTAGTCAAGGTGCTGAATTTTGTACTGAAATTCTGTCTGCATGCCAGACACAAGTAATAAATGTCTCCCTTATATATTTATTCCTTATTCCTCGCTGAGGGCTAGGGTTGCCAGCTCCAAGTGAGGAAATACCTGGAGATTTTGGGGGAGAGGGCGGGGTTTGGGGAGGGGAGGGGACCTCAGTGGGGTGCAATGCCATAGAGAGCCCACCCTCCAGAGCAGCCATTTCCCTTCCCCCCCCCCAGGGGAACGGATCTCTGCCGCCCAGAGCTCAGCTGCAATCCCAGGAGATTTCCAGCCACCAACTGGAGGTTGGCAACCCTACTGAGGGCCAACAGTTATATGTATTTAAAATATTTCAGCACCTAGGACAACTTCCAAATAAAACCCTCGTGTTTCAAAATTAATATGTTTCAATAAAGTATCAATACATTAAAATAGACATTACAATAACAACGTCAAAGAAACAGTATACAGTCCATATCAAAACCAGCACAACTTCCGAAAGTGGTACACCTGGCTGAACCTGTCTTAACCTGGAACTGTTACAATTGTTGTGGGAAAGGAGTGCCATGCCTGACAATATTAGAGAAAAGGACCTTCACTTCTGACAGTGGCAGGACCTGAAGCAGGGCCTCTGTAAAATATTATAGTTCTCGGGTATTTTGCCTGTGGAAACAAGTGGCCCCAGACCATTTAGGATTTTTAGAAAGGTCATGAGTGGCATTTTGAATTGCATCCAGAAGCAAATACTCAACCTGTGAAGAAGCCATTTCAGACTCAGTAAGGTACAAGCACAGTAATTAGTACCAGTCAGCAGCCTTGCTTTGGCATTTCGCAGCGACTGAATTTCGCAATCACTTTCACAGGGCAGCCCCATGTAAAGTGCATGCCACTAATGCAACCTATATGAAACTAGTACATGGTCAGCCTTAGCCAGATCCTGCCTTTAAAGGAAATGCTTTAACTGGCGCACCAATTCAAGTTGGGCAGGGGTACAATGTACTACATAAAAGACCTTTGTGAACACAAATCTAGTAGCTCCTGCACAAGATGTGAACTTGTTCCTTCAGGGAAAATGCAACCCTGTCCAGAACAAGCTGACTACGAAATCTATTCCTTTAAGGTGATTTGGAACACACAGATGTGTTCAAGACCTGTAGCCAAATGAGAAGCTAGGAAGGGGAACACTTTCTAATTTACCTTTGGAGTTGTTACCAGCAGTAGCAGCCCTTCTTCCACTAGGTGACTCGATCAGCCTGAGCAAAATGTGGGAAGGCGCTTTCAGGCTATGGATGAGTTGTTTCACTTGCAGCTCAATCCCACGAATGTTTGCTCAAAAGTAAGCTCTTCCAAGTTCAGTTAGACTTACTCTCCAAGTGTTTAGACTGCTGCCTCAGTCTTTTAGTATGAAAAATATAACTAGGCCTTCTACGAGTTATTTAGGTTACAGACTGGGTTACCTATCTACGGTACTGTTTTTTCTATGCAAGTACAGTTATCAATGGGCAATTGGTTTGGTGGTATTCTTGGTATCAGACAACATTTACTTGTCTGCTGTGACAACAGTTTATGGGATGGGGATAACTGGAAGACGCTGTCAAACTCTGCAAAGCTCTGCCACAAAGATCACTAGCAGCATTTTGATACTTAAAAACATCATCCACATGTTTCGACTGAAATTCATTTAGTATGAGAAAGAAGAAAATTAATGGTAGTTGAAAGAAAACACAGTTTAAAATTACAGCTCTTCCTTATTCTAAAAATATGAGAATTATGTATTTATGGTTCACCATGTTTCCTAGGTTCAGGGAAGACTACATTTATTTTAAAAAACAAGCAGTGGCTATAGGAGAACAAAAATCATAAAGAATAAGAAAGTAGGGAATGGCTATGGAGAAAGTAAGTTCTACTCGCTTTAACGCAGATACTGTACTGTTAAAAAGTACTGTTCTGAAATTTTAGCAGAGGGAGAGGCGAGGTGGTTGAGTGTCCAAGTGCTCTGGGTCTCGCCAGCTTTTGGAGTCTTTTTAGGGGACCTTTTTGGCATTTCTGGACTCCTCCAGATTTGACAAGGGTCCACCAGACCCTCGGGAGTAGGAACTGGGAGAAGAAGACTTAAACTGTGGCAACAGCAGTCGAAGGTTTCAGTTTGTCTTGAAGCAAAAGCTCCAAAGGACCAGCCGGAGAGTTCACGACTGGAAAGCTACTTCAACCCCCAAATCAGAGCCTCCATACCTCGCCACAAATCATCCTGGCAAAGACCCTGTGAGTAACCTTTCTTCTATTTATAATCATCAAGCTCGGGAAAAGGATACTTAATTGCCCCTATAAATCTCTCCCAGAGGCAAAAGGAGGGGGAGCCAGAGTGCCGGGAATGTTATTGCATCAAACTCAAAGGGGCACAATAACACTTTGAAATTTTCTATCTGCTACCTGGGAAATATCGTTACAGAGACTGGCTTCACGCTTAAAGAATTTTGTTGGAATTATGGAGAGGAAAACGGGCTCTCGTGGATCTAAAATGGTGGCGGGATGTAGTTTCTTTGCCTGCGTAGTTACACAGTGAATGTTGTTCTACTGTGTCTGCTGACGTGCGAGATGGCTTTCTCAGCTGAGGAGAGAGACTGCTTGATGGATGGAAATATACTGATGTTCTCAGATGATTATTGGGACCAGTGTTCCCTCTAAGCTGAGTTAGTGTGAGCTAGCTCACAGTTTTTTAGCCTCCGGCTCACACATTTTTGTCTCAGCTCAGGAAGGATGGCTCCAGAACACACTAATTTATGCAGTAGCCAAATCACCTGCTCACAACTTTAATGCTGGTAGCTCACAAAGTAGATTTTTTGCTCACAGGACTCTACAGCTTAGAGGGAACATTGATTGGGACTGCTTAAAAAGCCAATTGATGGAAAAAATTACAACTGCTGACCTGGAAGCCTTGGGAGAGCTTCGGAGAGGAGATCACAGAGGCACAAAATCAGATGATGTCAGACACTATACAAGATGAAAAACGACCGGACCTGCTTCAACACTCGATATCTACAATGAGAGATTTACCCAGCTACTGCTTTGATGGGCTGGTTGGATATAATGTAGCCGATGCAGGGTTCGAGACACAAGGCTGCTTGTTTTCGTACACAGGCAGACCAGAAGAGGATGGGACATTCAAAAATCAAAGGCACAAAAGAACAACGATTTTGATGAGACATTTTCAAAGAAAGCAAGAGAAACTTAAACTTTACAAATAAGTGGAAGTAGCACTTTTTGACAGTCTGCATGGCTTTAATTGGCTGAAGGGATAAAGAATTACTAAAACTGGATCTTTTAAGCTGTTGAGAACTGTTTATCTACTGTGTGTTTCTTCACCTGATTTACATTGTTATTTGACAACCAATTGATTTATGAATATAACCTGAAGCAAGGTACTTCTAACTTTTGCGCTTTCTTGACTGACTAATTAAAGCTATAAAATAAGGACTTTTAATTTGAAACAATTTACTCTCTATACATGCAATGTCCTAATTGAAGGAGGATGAAAAGATATGGGCAGTCTGAATTTTTAGAGAGAAATTGCAGGGAAATATAATTAATGGGTTACTTATTTAGAGAATGTGTATGGTGTTAACTGGAGCTGGAGACCAGGTGTG